ATATATAATATATATAAATATGGGTGAGTTGACTTAATTTGACAACTCTTCATAGAAATGTTTTTGTGCAGTCTGTTTTGAACAGTTTTGTATTTTTGAGAATTGTATTAGTAGCCTACAATTTTCAATTTGAAAGAAGTTAATCAAATAGGATTACATCAAATCAGTCACAAGTGAATTGTAATTACTCGTACAATAAGTTGTGGTTACTTTTCAAGGCATCGGGTTTCCTCAATTTAAGTACAAGTTGACAGAACTCCGATTAACTTGTTAGTTTTAAGTCAAGTAGATTCACACTTTCAAGTAATCGCAATTTAATACATTTTAAGTTAGTCCAACTTAAAATAAAAAGTGACCGCAACACATTTTCTTTTGTTTCAATAACTTTTATTTGTCAGTGTAACTCAGAATTGTTAAGTTCACTTACCTGATTTCTTTAATTATGCATGAAGTTTATTTGATCATTTTAAGGCAACAGGTTTCCTCACTTTTTATGTTAAGTCAGCTGATCGCTTTTTACAGTGTAGGTTATGTTTAGTTTTTGGTGATAGCTAAGGTTTAGAAGTGTGTAATTTTGGTTTTCAAACGAGGTTCTCTAAAAAACTCCCCCATCTGCCATTGGTAGTCCCGCCCAAAAGCCAGTGGTGCTGTTTTGGGCTGATTGAGGTGTTCAAACAAACACAGCAATGTTTTTTTAGCTCATATCACTGCCTTTCACCACAGACAGTAGAGTATGATGTTAGCATTTGACTCTCAAATGCTTGATCTGATTTAATGTATACTTTAAAAGCAGCATTTAAAGTTGCTTTGGTTGAAGTTGGGGACTCTGGGGATGGGTTCTTTTGACTCTTTTTGACAACAGAAATAACAATGCTATAAACAACACATTGTTGCATATAAAAAAGCCCTGGTTATCACCCCCCAAAAAAACCCCAGCGACTTCATAAAACTCATACACAATGCATAATTACACCTTAGCATCCATTTAACAACGTCTTGACAAACTCCACTTTTGCAGGGGAAAATAATGTGTACTCTTTTTTATTTTTTATTTTAGAAATGTTCTTTTAACATCAGTGATGAATGATATGTGAAAATCAAGTCCTAAAATTTGCTCTGTGATTCCAGCAAGCTGTTGCACAAATCCCATAGTGTTCCTCAGCCATAGGGTCACACTTTCTGGATTAACTAAATTATGTGAAATACTCACTTGAGAAAGGCAATCTTGACCCTTTTTAAGCAGAGGCTGTGCCTTTAAATACTATATATAGTTTGGGGTCAGTACTTTGTTTTTGTTTTTGAAAGAAATGAATACTTTTATTAAGCAAGGATATGTTAAATTCATTTAAAAAAGTGATAGTAAAGACTTATATTGTTACAAAAGATTTCTATTATAAAATAGATTACAAAATAACCTTTTTTATTATATACAAAAGCAGCACGACTGTTTCCAACACACACAAAAAATCTGAAGGATCATGTGACAGGGAAGACTGGAGTAATGGCTGATAAAATTCAGCTTTGCCACCACAGGAATAAATTATATTTTGAAGTATATTCAAATAGAAAACTGTATATAAACGATAAATGTTCTCGATGGCGCTTTCCCCCCCAAAAAATTATTGTTATTATTATTTTGTTTGAACAAAGCCAGCATCCATTTGCACGATGTAGTATTCTTCACAGTTTATCTAGAGCTAGTGTTTGGTGTAAGAAAAAGAGCAGACTAATTCCATTTATTTCTCTTTTTATATTTGACTTCTGGAAATCAATTTCAGTTTTGGTAGGACCTTTTTTCCACTATGTGTATTCTCGCAGCGCGTTCTGTTTGTCCTAACCGGCCACTGTAGTCGATGCCTCAGTAGCGTTTAATATGGCGGCCACCTTGACGAGAGGTTTGTCAGGTATGAAGTGTGCATATTTACGTTTTATGGTCAGAATACATAGCTAAATATGTGTACGAGATTTTATAGACTCTTAAAAGTTGTTGTGCGTAGGAATACGCAATAAAAGTCTCCTATGTCCGCTACAGTGTGTAAAGGACGTTTGTGCGCTGGAATCGGTTCTCCTCGATGCAATATAACAATTTATTACGGTTTATTCGACCTTTTATTTAATTTGATCTTATATTATTCTACATCTCATTTATATGTCTTTCTGTTGCTTTATGATTATATCATTGTGGTAGAATGTGAAAAATTAGTATGTAATGATGATAAAATATACCATTAGACAACACAAAACGTCCATGCACTATACTGTGTTTTATCAGTATGTATTGTATTCATGTAGCTGTACTCTGTAAACTGGAGTTTTTTCTCCTTTGTTGGTCAGGTTTGCTGAGACCCCTGTCGGTTTTAGGCAGAGACTGTCTCTCTCCTGCTGTCAGACTCCCACAGACAGCTGGTTTCTCAGCTGTAGTGCAGAGACATGTCTCCAGACCACTGCCTGCTGTTCACACCGCTGCTCCCCTCCAACAGACCGGCCTGCTGAAGCGGTAAGACCTGCTCTAGCCACACATTTGCCAGTCTGTCTGTCTGTTTAAATGTATATTATTCTGTTTGTGTCTTTACACAGCGGTGGCCAAAATTATTAGAAGTACAATAGTACAGGTGCATCTCAATAAATTAGAATGTCGTGGAAAAGTTCATTTATTTCAGTAATTCAACTCAAATTGTGAAACTCGTGTATTAAATAAATTCAATGCACACAGAAGCACCTTGGAGATGTTGCCACAGTTCTTCTGGATTTAGTCTGTCTCAGTTTGTTCTGTTTCTTCATGTCATCCCAGACAGACTGATGATGAAGAGATCAGATCTCTGTGAGGAGCACTGGCTGTTGTCAGACAAAAATCTCACTGGATTATTACAATTAATGGCTAAAAGAAACTGATATTTCCTACTGACACACTACAGCAAAAGATAGAAATAACTGACTTAAAACTATTTTTAGCTGGTGAAAATACTAGTGTTGTAATAATTTTGGCCACCACTGTACAACCTTTAAAGGTTCACCCAAAAAGTCATCATTTACTCACCCTCAAGTTGTTCCAAACCTGTATGAGTTTCTTTCTTCTGTGGAACTCAAAAGAAGATATTTTGAATATTGTAAACCAAACAGTTGAATGACTACCCATTGACTGCCACAGTATGGAAGAAAATACTATGGAAGTCAGTCAACTGTCAAAATATCTTCTTTTATGCTCAACAGAAGAAAGAAACTCCTACAGGTTTGAAACAACTTGAGGGTGAGTAAATGAGGAATTTTCATTTTTGGGTGAATTATCCCTTTACACCAAGGATGAGGATAACTATAAAGTTTTAATAATCATTCTAATTCCATCAGAATAGGGAAGTCCACGTCACAACTATAACAATAACAGAAACAGTATTGTGGAAATTACTTTTTAAAGGCCCTTTCACACCAAAAACGATGACCATAAAGATAACTCTATTAGTCTCTACACCAATACAATATTTAGGAGTGTTTGCTCTAAAATGGGCAACAGTTGATTCTGTTTTTACGTTAAGAAATATTTTAGTTGGCTGAGCAGAAATAACCTAACTGGCAATATTGTGTTCAAAGTGTTGGAATTGTATAGCTATAATAGCTATTTT